CACAGAGTTTTTAGGAACCTAACTCCCAATGATCCGTTCTGAAATTAAATTACTTGATCTAAGACAACAGAAGGTAACAAAGCAAAGACCTAAACCAAAGACTCCTAAACTTCAAATGACCTTCTCAAGTGCTGGATCCTCTTTCATTTCTTTACTAGTCAAGGGGATGTCTGTAAGGGATTTTACGTAAATGAAAAGTGCATATCCCACACATATCACTGAACTGTCATAACACCAATCCCACTTTCAGCTGGAATTTTCAACTCTTTTGCTGAAGTTGTTTTCTCATAATTAGTCAATAAGGGGATTTTAAAATATTTTTTTACATTGACAATATAAGGAAAAATACACTAAGATTACTTCTCAGCTGATTTTCTGCCATCAGAGCTAAGTATAGGGACAAAAATAGGCCAACTAAGAAGTAAACTACAACTGAAGAGAAGCACGGATCTGCAAATCAGTTATGTGAGTCCATACAAGTAACTTCAACTATTTCCTCAAATTTCACCACTGCTGTGTGGTAAGAAGTAAAACTAAATTGCCTACCTCAATGTGATGTTGTGAGGATTAATTGGATGAAACTCATCAAGCAATATAATATACAGTGTCTTGCTGCAGCTTGTTTTCTTATCCTACTAAAAGCAAATCAAACACCTTAGTCTTTCCTGGAATCTGTGATAGACTGTTTTTAAAATTTAAAGATAATTTCTTTCATAGTAACATTTTTTCTATCCCAAACTGTATCTAAAAAACCATTTTTTCACACCATTATTTCTCAGCATATGCATAACTTAAAATACACATATCAACAGGGCATATGGCATCTACTTGAACATTAAATTTAAAATCTTCTCCTTTCAAAATATTTGCTTATTGATAATGACTATAAATCTATACTAGCAAAATGATACATACTTTTTCCTTTTAAAGACTCAGAGACTTTTTTTTCCTTCAGTGGAGAATGCAAGAAAGCTCCTTACAACTGTAGTGTACCTATTTTCCAAACTACATTACAGTGACTGGTTTCCTATGACAAAAACGTGCCTAAATTACTATTGAGTCTCAAAATTATTTGTCCCCCATTAAAAAAAATAAAAAAGGTCTTTCCTACATTTGCCAAATCCAGTCCCTAAACTGTTTGGCACAACCAGCAATATTGTCATTCACTCAAATCTTATCATTTTCCACAAAATCACTACTGAAGCACGCATCTGTTGTGTGTTTGCAGAACCCGCAGTTATCATGGATTCCAAAGTGCACCTTATCAGCTGCTACGAAAGGGCTGTGAGATCTGTCATCCTTTGTGCACCAAACGTGACACTAAATAACCTTCAGCAAATACAGTAGTGGCAGCTAGGGTCACAGGAGAAGAGATTATACCTTCTGATTAGCTCTCCATACAGAGTATCATACATTTAAACTGTGACACGGAGAATAAAGATCACAGTTTCATTCTGTGAAGACAAAATATCTCATACTTTCTGCCAGAAGATAGATGCCTTTGATATATGTATAGATATATGTGTATATATATATTCTGGCATGAAATAAAAAGACTTAGTAATACAACTTCAAACAAAAGGTAGGATTTTAAACTTACAGAAGACACAAAATGCAAAGTTACAATTCCTGCAAGGTTTACTCCTATGGGCTCACTCCTGCAAGGCTCTGTACTGTGGTCATGCTCCAATAAGGAAGTGAAACATGCCAACAATCTCACTCATTTCAAAGGATCTACTCATAAAATTTAATTTATGCAACTTGCTTAAGCATTTCAGTTAATCAGAAGGAGATCACTAAGCACTTTGCAGATCTATGACCCTTATGTCTAAGGACAGCATCAATTATGTAGTGGTAATGACACAAAAAAATTTCCTTACCACACATGCAATCATTTTGAACTTTCTGGTATTACCAAATTTAGTGAATACTCCTCCAAGTACTCGGTTGTTTGGAAAATATAACGTAGGCACTTGGGGGTACAAGAAATGGTTAAAAAAAGGAAAAATCAACCAACACCTTTCCTATTGCTTATAGTCTAAGAAGGTTCGAGTAGAGAAATGAAACTGTTTTCCAATAAAAATAAGAAGTGGGAATTTAGGAAACTAAGATAGTTCTGGAAACAGACTTCAGAAAAATCACTTGCTGTTCACATAAAACCTGTCTGACAGTGTTTTGACACATATCAGAGGTGAAGATTTTTCATCACTTCACCAACTCCAGCTAAAGTAGCTGCATAAAAAAGGCTCACAGATTTAGAGAAAATGTCTGAAAACTGTCTGAACGATGAGCAGAACAGAAACTGCTCTGAGGCATGATCTCATCCTTACTGCCACAGAGATGTACTTGCCCAATTTCATTTCTGCACCTTTGCTGCTGAAGTTCAAAGCTGAGAAGGTCTCCTTCCCACAGAACTGCCAAGGGAAGACAAGCTGAAGGTGATACAGCACCCTTCTCCTCCCTGAGTATTGGAGCTACCTATGGCACTGCCTGTCACCTGTCAGGGGACAGGGAACAACCATGCAGCCTCCTTTCATCGTGGTGGCAGCAAATATCAAAAGAGAAAATATATTAACTTAATTTTCTGTTAAAATAAGGTTGTATTTAATTGCTTCACACTTTGCACCATACCTAAAAACTGTGTTGGGAAAGTTTTTCTCCTTCAAATCTCAGTTAATTTCTAAGTAGCAAGACAATGTGAGAATATAATATTTAATTGTTCAGCTGTTCTAGAATATAAATGTAAAAATGATTAAATAAACTTTATGCAAACTTTTATGCAAATAAAATTTTGCATAAAAGATACATAATCATTAATGGTAATGCATTCTAGAAGGCAAATCATTTTAGTATCTACCCTGTCTGTTCCTTTGAGATAGAAAATATTGGAACAAAAGAAAAAAACCAACAAAAACACAAACAAACAAATATAAAATAACAACTAAAACAAAACAGGAAAGCCCCTCTGAGAAAACCTGGCAGAAGTTTTTATATTTTATCTAATTGAGCAATAAAACCAAATTCCAGAAAAAAAGCTAAAAACTGAACCTCAATGGTGTATGTGTTCTTGAGAAAAGCCAGGAATTGTGAACTAAGTTGCACCTGGCAAGGCTAATAGTTGAAAACAAAATATTAACCAGTAGTTGTTGAGGAAGTTATCAATACATGTAACTCACATCCAGCAGTTTTCAAGTGTGTTCCAAAATCTGCAGAGACATTATAACGAGCTGTTGAGGCCAGACTTGTAGGACTCATGCTTTTGAAATCACAGCTCATGCAGGAGAAGGTAAAGAATACACAGGTAACTTGGCTTAAGCATGAATGCTGAAGATTTAACAGGATGACCTTAATTTCTTCTTACAAAATGACCCCACCAAAACCACATGTACATATAGTATGTTTTAAGGTAAATCACCAGTTTATGGAAACTAGTAATACTTTTTACAGATTTTATTAATCTTCAGCTCTGCTGGTATTGCAAGTGGAATGTTACAAATCTGGATTTCAGGCAGTGGTAGCATAATGATGTCCTCATGTTTTTTAGGAATATTTTCTATTGTATTTATTTAATTTGGGTTGTTTCTTTTTTTTTTTCAACAGGTCAGCCAGTTAGAACTTAATCCCATAGCTTGAACTGAATGTATCACCAGAGCATACACCCCTTCCTCAGGCAGTTACAAGGTAGAAAGTAAATCCAAAGTCAGTTATCAAGATTTTTATCTTCTTAGTTACAAACACCTGGAAATAAGAAATTACAACATAATGGTGGGGCAGTAATAATTTTATGGTTATGAAGGGAGTGAAAATTACACTGTTTTGTGTTCTGCAACTTGGTATGTTCATTCTTAGAGTAGTGCCAAGAGCTCTATTAAACTCAGAGATTAGTGCTGAAATGCATAAAGACATGAAACAAATATATTAAGCCTTCAAGCTCTAATCCTAGGGAGTCTTGAGATACCAGATCTGAAATTCACCTTGTCAAGCATGTCCTATAAATCTCTACAGGGAAGCAATGCAAAGTCCAGTGGGAAAATTCTTTCCACTGGTTTCTTTGGGTTTTGGATAAGGCTCAAAAAAAATCCAGAATTCAAGGAAAGCTACAGTAGAGCACCCAGAATATAATTTTCCAATGGTATAAATCATTAATCTATGACTGAAGCTCCTGAGATACCAGTTTATGTTGAAATCAAAATGTAGGATGGGAGGGAATAGGTAACAGGGGTCAAGGGACAGCAAGCAGAATAGTATGACTTCAGAACATAATCATGACTGGGGAAGAGCAACACAAATAGTGTCAGAGCACATGAACTTTCCTAGCAGCAGTAATCAGAGAGATATTTTAATGACTGCTATATATGTGTGGGGCAATAAAAGTAGACAATTTTGTTGTGTTGCATAAATAACCAAACTGTTTACTCTTCATTTTTTCCGGTAATTTAAGCACAAATAACCTAAAATTTTAACACTTGAAAAAATTACATGAATTTTTAAAAAATTGATTTTAGTAATCTGCAGTGTTGGACAGTGTGTGCACACAAGCTGTAAACCTGAGAACACGTACACTAAGCATTTTCCAACAATATAGTTCTACGATTAAAGCAAAGGTCTTCTTAGTGTTGCAACACATCCCATGTTGTGAAACAGGAGCAATTTGTTTAAGTGACAAATGAAAACAGCTTACCTAATCCTTTTAAGAGATCCTATCAATTAAGAAATAAATGCGAAAGGTCTTCAAATGAAAAAGCCCACCTTATCAAAAAATATGTTTTTCACTATGTTTTTCATTATATTTGTGTTCAAACACAGCAGGAGCTGTTGGAGTCTAATAAAACTACCAAGGTAATTACACTGGCTTTTTTCTACACAGATATCAATTTAAGTAAGTTTTTAAGAATACTCATATCAGTTTGAGCTATAAGTGGCAGTTCTATATTTCAGGGCAGTTAGTCCAATTTTACTGCTTAGCATTCAAAGAATAATTTATAAAAAAACAGACTTACATTGTTTTTTCATCTCCTTAAGTTGATCCTTAAAATACATATATTTTTCATTCTGTTGTAAATCTGAGTCACTGTTCATGCTCTCCATTTCAAGGAATTTTTCTCGCGCCAAGTTTTCTAAATCTGGTAAATTTTCTGGTTTTTCTCGTTTTACCTGTATGGAAGAAGAAATAGACTGTATTCATTATGACACATTTTAATACAAAGCAGAAGACATCAAGCAAAACGCCATTAGCATAATCTCAGTTTCTTTTGACTACAGTTAGGCTTCCTGCTCTGAAGCCATAACCCCCAAGTAATTCATTTCAGTAAAAGTAAGTATGAAATGAGATATTAGCTTCTCAGTGTCATTTAACTCATTTTCTGGGTATTTCTCACAGTAGCAAAAGGGAAAACTGAACCTTGCAGTCAAATTACCTCTGTAAGTGGTGAAGGTAAACATGTTAACAGGAACCAGCATAACACTTAACGAGAATGAAACAAAAGTATACAACCCTGTCCAGAAAGCAAGAAGATAACAGAAAATCTGAAATAACTTTTAAGAGTTTTGCAAAAACCTCCACTCTCATCACTTTGGAATCAGGTTTACAGAAGCCTATAATCTACATGGAAGATTAGAGTGATAACACCAGCAAGAACAGTACAGCTAATGGGAAAGGAAACCACCCCAATTTATTTGTGCTGTCTAAACAAGAAGCATTAAGCCACACAAGCAGGCAAAAACAATTTCTTGAAAAGCACTTACTTATGGCAAATACATCTGGAATGATCTGAAGAATAAATACCCAGAAAAGGGAAGTCATCACGCAGACAACATTAAGATATTCTAGGAATGCAAAAGGCACTCTGGGAAGGCCCTAAAATCAATAATTGGAGATTTCTGTTTCTCAAGGTAACATTAAATTCTAGGGAAGTGTAACTTTGACAGCTCTTCATGAGAACTAGCTTAGGGACTGCACTGTCCAATGAGGATCAGCAACAGCACCAAGTCAGAAAGAAGGTGGACATCTGACAAATCCTTAATGCTAAGCATTTTCTGAACCAGAAAAAAAGCCAATTCTATCCCAAAATCATGTCAGAATATGCCAATCCGAAAAAAAGGAGGTAAGCACCATTTCTGCTGAGCCACTCTTCCCCTACCACACATACTAAATTTTGCCCTTCACCAGACCATGACACCATTCATTGTGAAAGACAGGAAAAAAAGGAGCCTACTGAGAAAAAAAAACCCAGTCTACTTCATCAAATCATTTACAAGTTTAAAAGTATACAGAGATCTTGGAAATCCTACAGAATATATTTTGTTTTGGGAGCCAAATAAATAAATGTTCACATAAAAATTGACTTAGCAGATACATAAAATGAAAAAAAAAACCTTTACTATCACTTAAGCAAAGCAAAGAAATCCATAGAACTATTACTTTTTCCAAGAGCAAAGCCAGTTTGGCACATTTACTTTCAGCAGACGCAAGTTGTGGCAAGAAGAAAAATAAGAAAAAAACATGCACTGCCAGGTGATAGAATGAAGTTTTCAAAGGCACCTGGAGATAAAAGATCACCTACCATAACATCCAGCAGTAAATGGGAAAGACTCAGTAATACTTTTGTACCAAAGGAGCACAGTCACTATGAAAGACCAACAGCATGTCATCAGAGATGCTTAGACTGCTGCAGGAGCCAGCAGGTATGTAGAAACTTTATCCCATGATAAAGAATATAGAAACTTTATCCCATGAAAGGAACAGAGGAAAACAGAGCATCCTGTGCCCAGTGCAGCAAGGACAATCATTCACACTCAAATGGTTTGCCTGTGCCAGCATCACAGCACCCTGCTGCCACAGAAGGCCGATCACAACCCCAACCAGCATTGTTCAGTACTCAGCTGGAGAAGAAACTTGGCTATCAAGTGTATGCAAGAACAAAAAGGCACTTACTAAATCAAAATTCATTTAAAATGCAAGACATTATAAAAGAATGCTTTGATCTGGACTCATGTAGTGCAAACATATTCCTTTCTGCAACATCACACTGATTTTACTGACATTCTCTCTTTAACATAAACATAACATGTGGAACACACAAGAATAGTCCAAATAACAGCTCACCACTAAGATCTGCCCTCATGTCAAGTGAGAGCACTATGGCCAGATCCCATATAGAAGATCCAGCTGTGTATACTAAAAATAACCCTGAAGTGCTTCTAAGTTGCTGAGACTGACACCAATAGTAAAATAAATTATGTGGACATTCATCACAGGCATCCATCAGCAGTAAAGACAATGTCAATAATCTTTTCCTGTCCACAGGGACCACATTACACATTGATAGAGTTACATCAGGAGCTCTTTATCTTTTTCTTGACTCATGGAAGATTTGAGTGCAGATACGCATCAACATAATATCTTCAATCATATCTTCAGACTGAGGTGAAAAGAAGGGCACAGCCAATGTTAGTTCAAACAGTGGTTCTCAACTCCAACTTCCAGAATTAAAAGACTTTTTATGAGCAGAAAAAAAGGCAGGAACTGTAACTTACAGCATTACACTACCAAAAAGGACATATGTTTGAGAAGGTGCATTACATCACCCTGTGCTAGTGCTACCTCACCTCAAGTGCTGTGTGCAATCTTGGGCACCACAATGTAAGAAAGATATAAATGTGTTAATGAGCATCCAAAGTGGGGCCACGAAGATGGTAAACAGCTTAGAGGAGGAGCTGTATGAGAAATGGCTGAGGTCAGCCCAGAGAAGAGGAGACTACAGGGAGAAGCTCATTGCAGTCTGCAGCTTCCTCGTGAAGGGAAGTGGAGGGGCAAGTACCGACCTCCGCTTTTTGGTGGCCAGCTACAGGACCCAAAGGAAGAGCACAAAGCTGTGTCAGAGGGATTTAGGTTGGGTATTAGGAAAAGGTTCTTCACCCAGAGGCTGCCAGGCACTGGGACAGGCTCCCAGGGAAGTTGTCACAGTGCTGAACCTGACAGAGTTCAAGAACTATTTGAACAATGCTCTCAGATACATGGTGGGATTCTTGGGAGTGTCCTGTGCAGGGCCAGGAGCTGGACTCAATGATCTCTGTGTCTCTCTTCTAGCACAGGATACTCTTATGATTCTATGATATGCACACGAATAAACTTTGTCTGTGCCACTGTGGAGCTACAAAAATTTGCATTAAGACATCTCACTAACCTCAAGAGAATGTTTACATAAAACTCTCCCTCAGCACCTAACTAATCACACAGCCTGCTGCCATAGGTCTATTAAAGTAAGAGCTAGCCTATTATTTGCTAGGGGCAACATGAACAATTCCACCAGCTATCGAGAGAAAAAAAATCATTCACACCAGCTCTATTCCCAATAACAATACATTACCAGATTGTGAGGACAGCCCAGCAATGCAGCATATATGACAAAGGCTCAGACAACCACCTCATACAGAAACCTAGAGTCAAATGTGAGAGATGCTCAAAGAATGCACTTTCTTGTAGTTTAACTTCTTTCATGTTTACAATTTAAATTCAGTTTCTGTTCACTTCCACGATTGCTGTCATTAAAATGATTAGTAGAGACACCATTCCTGACCACACTCAGTACTGTACCACACACATGCTATTACTGAAATACCAGGTAGACCTTCTGGAAGGTCAATACATCACAGGAGAATAATAAAGCATGTCCACCCACTATAATAACAAGCAAATACATTTTGCTGTGCACAAGCAATTTCTCTTCAGTGCTGCATATCCTATGCCAAAGAGAGGGTGAGAGAATGGTCTACACAACAACATAAATGAAAACAAATTAAAGAAAATGTCCTATCACTGGGGAGATCTGTGAGGATCTCCCCGACATCCTCACAGTGGGATAGAATTACAACATCTCATACACTGCATCAGCAAAACACCTTTACAGGTTCATTACAGTTTTCTTTAGCTCTTGCCACCCACCTACTCCTACTCTACAGATTCTTGATGGATGTAGGAATGATGAGATCAGCATAACAAAATGTCTGAGGGCAATACAAACATAGGGTATGGCTAAAGGAACAAGGCAAAATTATCAGTGTTCAGGGCACCAAGCTGGGGTCATGCCCCTTCTTGGTCTCAGCAGCACGTCAGATAAATGCTTACCAGCAGACCTGAAGTCACTGACATGTTCAATTCCTCAGAATAAGTTACTTCACATGAGAACCAAGAAAGACACATTAAGCAAACAACTGTTCGTTTAGCAGCACTGTCAGCCAAAACCAGCATGCTAAGTAACACCTTGCACTCATTAGTCAATCCATTGAGAGCTACATTGATTTTGAAATGGGGTGGAGGCATACACACCCTACAAAGCATCCTGGAAATTACATGTAACGATGAACTGGGAGTGTTCAGGACATATGGTGAAAAGAAGTATCAGTCACAACATCTTGTTTACAGCAACAGAAAAAGCAAAAGCATCTGCTGTGCCATACCAGCAAAGAACCACATGGGTTTTTACATGGGGGCTCAGCAATAAGGAAAACAGACATGTTATATATAACATACATATACATACATGATCTAGCAGAAGTCCTGATAAGAAAACACATTTGCAAAGGCTAAACACATAATTGTTTAGGAAAATGTAGCTGTAGTTCCACTATCAAAAGATATATTTACTCATGGCCTCACACCACACCACCTTGTCAGAGCGGTATGTGCAAAAGGGCATCTGTGTTTGACAGGCAGTGCTTATGGAATGAGCCACTTCATGACATGTGCCAGTATCTGTCTGTAAAGATACACCTTCCTCTCATGGATTCTTCCACTGGGAGGGTGTCTGTTCTGTGCTTAAACTGTTAAAATTATGCCTCCAAAAATCGGGCTTTTTAAAAGGCCAGCCTGCAGAGCCTAAGGGAAGAGTAAATGCACGGTATTCCAAGAGACAGTCTGGGGAATTTTTATTTCATCAATTACCATAACCACCAAGTCAAAAATAAATTATTCTGTTCCAAACCAATCTCAGAACGAGTAAGGTCAAAGGTACCATAGACTAAAATTGGACCAGTTTGCGGTATTAGTCTCCCTTCAGTAAGGGATCAGTGTCTAAAAAGGCACTAATTAGCATAACCCTGCATGCTGCACTGCAGCATTTAATAATTGTCCTGCCCAGTCCCAAAACACTTCA